CTACAGCAAACAACTCAAAAAGAAAATAAAATGATAATTCAAATTCTTTAGATTAATTTATTTGGAGTACTGTACATAGATCTTTAGTTGGCTAGTCTGAGAAAAACGGATGGACGAGCAGAGAATTCTTAAATTAATTAATTTCAGAGAGCTTGAGTTTCGTAGGCTCACTGCAGGTCAGCAGGTGTGACCTGTCATTGGGGATGCTTACTTCTCCTATGCACAGGAACTTTCAAGGATCCGTTTTTCTTTTGAGACCGATCACTGTTCATTCTGTATTTTGATACAAATACTGAGTACATCTGTTTATTAATATTATGAACTATTTCGCTCACAGGAAGAAAGACAAGTAAACAAGATAATAAAGTTTTAAGAAATGTACATTATTGACTTTTCATACAATTAAATGTTCGAATAAGTAAATGGTATATGACAATTATTTAAAAAAGTCTTGCAAGCACGATATGTATCAGCGAACATATACTGAGTATTTGGGAAATATTTAAATTAAAATGTGATCGTTTATAATCGTTTGTAATAATTAGTCTGAGTACAGAATTTATCCCTGGAAACAAAGCTTTCATCATCTTTTAAAAAAGTTCAATTGAGAAAAAAAGGAGAAGAAAACAAACGTTTCATTATGGAAGTAATCCATTACTGTACAACTTACAGATGTATTCAGTTTTTTTTTTATATAAAGGCTTTCTTCATGTACTAGTATTACTTAAGTTAATTAAAGAGATGCCTTAATATTTTGGCAAGGAAAATGAAACTCGATCGATAGATTTTCCGATGTTCTGCAGTCGGTAATAACCTTCAACCCCTTTAGCCAGTAATTAACCCGTCCTCCCTGTGCCAGTAGCATAATTCGGTCAAATATTTATTGTTCATGAGGGGTGCCTTATAATTAATCACAGGCACCTGAATTTTTATCAGTAAGTCTCTAAATTAGCCAAATATCGAAACATTCTATCCCCTCTATATATAAATAAACAAGGTGTGCAACGCCATTTTGACCCCCTGTTCGATTCAGGCTTCAATTTAACAAATAAATCGGATATGCCTGCTAGTTTTCTTGTAGCATTGGGTTCAAATATGATATTTCTCGCTATATATTTCTTCCTAAAGTTTAAATCCAACGCGTTGATAAAGTTATCAGCTAAACTTCATGCTGACTTCGAATTTCGTCACAGGGCCCGATCGCCATCAGCTGACGTCACGGAAATTTAATCTCGACACCAAATGCTCCTATACATAAACTTTTTTTAATACAACAATTATAAATTTATTTCATTGACAAACAAAATCAGAAAAAAATTAAACATACGTTATATGTGTTAGAAACAAATCATAGGCCTAGAGGCTTTGTTGAAGTTTTGTCGATAGGTAGCGCCTTATGGAAGTTTCCGGTGTCGATACATGCCATAAAGCGGTTAGCAAAGCTAACCGCTTAAAAATCATAAAACTTTTACCTCATTCTTTAAGGAAATTATAATTATAAAAAGAATCGAGGATGTAAATAACATTTCTAGGCTCTCAAGGGCCACCCCGCTATATTAAATCTGAAATTTTACTGTAACTTCCATTTATTTCTCCGTCAGTCTGAATGCCGCATCTCACATTAACTTATCATTTTCAAGAATCCTTAAATCATTCAATACTCGTCACTTCAAATAAAATCAGCTAAGCTAAGCTACTTCTATCGTACTAATTTATATTATGTTCATGGTGCAACTGTTAGAGTGAGCACAGATACATATTCAGTTTTTGCTTCATTTAGATCGGGCTCGTTAAACAGCACGTGACATTTGGTGCGTCTAGACCCTGACGTCATATAACGTCGAATATATGTTGCATTTCCAAAAGGATGCCAGAACAGAGTTGGTTAATTCAATAAAGAACAGTTTTGACTATTAATTTGTCTGCAGTATATCTATTAAATTAAGTTTATTATTCGTTGAACTATTGTTGTTATTCTCGCTCCATTCACTATTCATGTTACGAAGGTTTGGGCCGACATAAATGTAAAAATAATTCCCAAGACGATGCTATTAATTGATAATGAAATTGTTATATCAATATGTATCCAGTATAATATACTTTGGTGGATACTCCAAAATATATATGATTTAGGACCTATTAAAAGAAAATTCTAATCAACAAATGTTCTATTCTTAATAATTGTGATCTTGTTTTTGCTCAACGATCTGAGAAAAAATGTGAAAATGACTAAAAAAAACCTTTTTTTCTCAAGAAAATCAAAGTTTTTTTATTACTTAAGGTCAAGATCTAGTAAATGAAAGGTGCCTTCAGATTTATCAAACTTGAGAAGAAAATTCCTTTATTGATGCTTTACAACTTTAGCTTGGTCAAATAAGGTGTTTCGGGGCATAACTTGTAGGTAAACAAGATGAAAAACTGTATTTTAAACTGTCATTTTCAATGAAAAATTATTAAAACCAGTCATAAATATGGGAGTTTTTTTCGTATTCGGCAAAGGAAATGTATCCAGATTGCCTACAGTCTCTCAGAAAACGGTAATTAGTTTGTTCATGGCCTCTTCTTTACATCAATATCAAATTTAATATAGGTATCCGCTTTGCTTTTCATATGATTTCAAATTGAATGACATGAAAATGCCCTATTTTCTACATAAATGTGCTAAAGCCGTAAACTACAGGAAAAAGAAAATTGAAATTGATTACGACGTCATAATGGATCTAGCACCAAAAAATTAGTCTCAACTTATTTAGTAGATCTTGACCTTAAGAAAAAAAATCACAGTGAAAAGGTATTTTTTTTTCAAATTAACAATTTTCACAAGCTTCACAATGCCAATACATGTACTTTACACGAGTAGAAACTTGCTTGTGGCAGTTTATGCTTTATATCGTAAATCTGGACATTTTTACGTCGATTTCATGTTGCAAATTTAGGTTCAAAAGTAATTGATTTTTTTACGCTTAAAATTTTGTGAATTGTTATCGGTGCTTAAATCATTTTACAAGTTAGGCATGTTCAATCTGCTACGTATTTGTTGTACGATAGAGAAACTGTTTTATTTTCATGAATAAGTAATTTATAATAAAGACACACTGCGTGTTAAACCATTTGACAATGATATTATATGTAGTTAAGGCGCTCTCAAAAATCAAATCATAAACTGGTTTCTTCAAATGGCCACCGATTTGTTAACCTATTTTGTTGATGATTTATTTGTAAGAAAAATACTAACCCAAATGTAATGAACTCGCAAACTTGCTAAAAATTTATCTACAACAAAAGTTTCTAGATTTACGGTAAATCTTACTTCGGTCAATCTTACCATCTCTACAAATTTCTCAAATCATTAAGTATATAAATCAGTACATGGGATATAACCTTTTAGAGGATTGATATAATAAAGATGTTTTTGAAAATATTACAAACTTCCAGTCTCTCTAATTTTTCAAATCATTGAAGATATCAGTTGATGGCATACAAGTGGAAATTTTAGTGAGAGGCAAAGACCTAGGTTCACTTTTGGAATAAAATGGCCGTGTACTTATGTCAATTAATAAACTTTCACCCTCTTTCCCATTTCATGTATAAAATACAGAAGACACTTGTGTGCTTTTGACTAGAGGGAAAATTATGTCATGATTAATAGATATGTAGTCACTTACACTTCATGTGATAAATACTGCATATGAAACCTAAACAGCGGTTTTGATTTTTTTTCAGAAATTCTCAGGGCCAAATAAGGCACAAAGTGGCTCTTGCCCTTTAGCGATTTGTCCTAAAGACCGGTATTTTATTTCAGCGATTTAGAAATGCTCACTAGAGAAGCCATTACAAAGATAACGCAATTAATATTTACATTTATTTAATTTTAGCGATCTCAGCACTCTCGCTAGTAATGCCTAAAATAAGTCAAATTTCTGGAGAAGAAGAATGTTAAAGATTTTACCTATACATTCCTATGTAAAACTTTGATCAGCCATTGTGGCCCTGCCCTACCCCTAGGGTTCATGATTTGAAAAAACTTGAATCTACACTACCTGCGGATGCTTCCATATGCGTTTCATCTTTACTGGCCCAATGTTTCTGGAGAAGATTTTTTAAAATAATTTTCCTATGTATTCCTATCTTAACCTTTGATCAGATATTGATGCCCCGCCCTTCCCCCGGGGGTCATGTTTTGAACAAACTTAAATCTACACTACCTGGGGATGCTTCCACGTGAGTTTCATCTTTCCTGACCCAATGGTTCTGGAGAAGAATATATCTAAAGATTTTTCCTATATATTCTTATGTAAAACTTTGATCAGCCATTGTGGCCCCGCCCTACCCCCAGGGGTCATGATTTGAACAAACGTGAATCTACACTACCTAAGGATTCTTCCACATGAGTTTCATCTTTCCTGGCTCAATGGTTCTGGAGAAGAAGATATTTAAAAGATTTTCCCTATACATTCCCATGTAAAACGTTGCTCAGCCATTGTGACCCCGCCCTACGCTCAGGGGTCATGATTTGAACAAAATTGAATCTACACTACCTAAGGATGCTTCCACATGAGTTTCATATTTCCTGGCTCAATGGTTCTGGAGAAGAAGATTTTAAAAAGATTTCTCCCTATATATTCCCATGTAAAACGTTGCTCAGCAATTGTGGCCCCGCCCTACCCCCGGGGGTCATGATTTGGAAAAACTGAATTTACACTACCTAAGAATGCTTCCACATGAGTTTCATATTTCCTGGCCTAATGATTCTTGGAAGACGGCTTGGCCCTTATTCTAACAAACTTGAATTCCCTTCACCCAAGGATGCTTTTTGGCAAGTTTGGTTAAAATTGGCCCAGTGGTTCTTGAGAAGAAGTCGAAAATGTGAAAAGTTTACAGACAGACGGATGGACAGCTAGACAGCTAGACAGACGAACTACAGACAAACTGTGATCAGAAAAGCTCACTTGAGCTTTCAGGTCAGGTGAGATAAAAACTTACAATAAGTCTAAATTTGTTAGATTATTGAACGCTTTATCCTCTATTGTGGTTATGCTGTTGCCGATTAGATACCTGTAAGACATTATGAAGAATGAATGTCAAGTTCTTTCTTATGTTAACCTAGAAAATCATAATATTTTAACCTCATTCTATAAGGAAATTATAATTATAAAAACATCGAGGAAGAGAATATCATTACTAGCCTCTCGGAGGCCACCCCGCTTTATTAATCTTATTTTTATTTTTATATTTAAAAATTTTATACAACCTTAACTTTTTCGAAAAACTTACAGTTTCTCTAAGTTTGTCAGATCATTGAACGTGTTATCCTCTATTGTGGTTATGCTGTTGCGAGATAGAAACCTGAAAAAAAAAATGTGAAGAGTGAATGTCGAGAGTTGCAGAATTTGATAATTCATAATAATTTTACCTCAAACTTTTTAGGGAATTATAATTTTTAAAAGAAAGAAAAAAAAACATAGATCGCGTGGATAATTCTTTGCTGCCTTACAATCACCACTGATACATAGGTACACACAGGTATATTAAATCTTACGCAATATTATATACAAACTCAACTTCTCAACCTGAATTACGCTTTACAAGTGAGTTATTTTTATCCTACTGTTTGCATTTAAGGATCAGGCGAACATTTAAGTAATAATACAAGACATGATGTTGATGTTCTTAAAATTGTTGAATCAAATAACAGTTTATTAGTTTTTAGGTGAATTATTACTCTAAAAAAATCCTAGTCAGAAATTGTTAGGAAAAAACTTACATAAGCTTTAAGCTTTTCAAACCAGTAAATGTGTTTTCATTCATTGCAGTAATGTTGTTTTGGTACATTAATCTGGAAAAAATAAGTGGAAAATGTCTGTCAAAATTCAATAATTTTTTTTTCATTTGTATGAAGTAAGCAACACCTAATCAAAGTATTGAAAGAATTGAAAGCCAGGCTTTTTAACTACTCGAGTATATTGTCTGATGTAAAATTAGTACATGATCATTACTTTTTTTCCTTTTTGCCATTGATTTTTAACAGGTAGAGTTTGTATAATTATGATTTAAAACAATATTCCATATACCAGTAATTAAAATAAACAGTCCAGACCCCAAGATATATTATGATTTAAAAATTTAATAAATAATTTTTCCCAGAACTTCTCGCTTATTTTCTATTCAATAAGCATTTATTTCTCATAATTGAGAAATTATGTCTTAGAATAGTAAAAATAATGCACATGTGTATTTTAATTGACATTCTTTTAGTTTCAAACAAACAGTACTTTCATCGCCGACTTCGAGTAGAAACACTGATACATGAACATTGTCAAGCGACTCCACGCATGTTAATTCTTTAAATTCAAGTTCACTATACTATCAATCTGGTAAAAATCAAAACAGAATATAACCACTATTAGGTATCATAAAATTACAGTCTGAATTCCGATATGAATATTATGTGTAATGTCTTAAAACAAAACAAATAGGTACCAAAATAAAAGGAATAGTTTTCATAGTAAGTTTTACTAAACTGCTGTAAGTCAATTCGAATGAATTGGCGTAAAAGTTATTCGTTTGGCAAAGTAAAAGCAAACCTCATCTTGACATCTTTAAATTCCTGACTAATTCGTCTACGTCTTTTATACGTTATCCAAGCCTTTTTTTAATAAGAAACTCTTTTCGTAAAATTAGCTTAAAACGTCATTTTTCAATATAATTATTTCAATAGCAAAGCGTAAAATAGTACTTAAAACTTCACTGCGTTTACAGTTACATAGCAATAAATCAAAGTAGGATAAAAAAATAAAAATTACAGATAATATGGTGTAAATTCCTAAAAACATTATATTAAATTTTTCATGACATGTTTTCTTGAAGGATCTTTTATTGCAGTAAACCCTTAAATTCGTGATTAAATCAATTACATTTAGGAGGATTGGTTTTCAAAAATATATTTTAATTAATGAAGTTGTAGTCTCTGTAATTCTTTAAAATTCGTGAATGAATCCATACATGGGATAAACAAATTTGTATAATTGATATAATCCAAAAACTATATGAAATAATTAACTCACAAAGTCCATAAATTTGTCAAATCACTGAATGCATTATCCTCAATTGTATGAATACTGTTGTCGTGTAGATACCTAAAATAAGCGTTAATGGAAAGTACATGTAGATCTCATGAATAATTTCACTAACCTTACAACATTACCAAAGATATATTGAATCTCAACATCTACAGTCTCACCTTATCTCTACGTTCATATACATGTATATACTTAGTAACTATACATTCCAAATATCAATGTACTAGATAGCATGATAGAGAACAACAAAAAATAAAGACATGGTATTTAAATAATATACATATGCTATCTTTTTTTAATTGGAAAAGTTTGAAAATGTTGCTCTCCAACTATTTTGGCATTCGCTGGAATTCAAATGAAAGACATTTCTTTTAAAGAGTTTTTGATGGCAATTGGACAACGTGCCATAAGTAAACACAACTGGGCGAAAAAAAGTGCTGAGAGTCACAAAAGGACGATATTAATAATAAGTATTTATCAAAAACAACTAAAATTAGCAGCACAACAATACAAATAGCAGTGAATATGAGTAATTATCACCAACACCAACAACAGCACTGCATCAGTAATCATCAAACATTATAAGTAAAATTTGGAATTCTCAGAACTTTTTTTGTCCAGTAGTGAAAGTGTCAAATGTTTGTTGTATGATTATACAGACAGAAATGTTGAAGAA